CTTCCGATCTCCCCAAAACCCCAAAACCCCATCAATGAAATTTGAATTTGAAAGGAGATTACATAGGATTAATTAAAAGACATTTGGATAAATATGTAATTATATTTGAATCATTCAACAGCGACTATGCATTGCTTGCTATCTTTATTTTTATTAATTCTTCCCCTTTATTTTTGTCTAAACATTAGAGAATCAGCAAGGAAATAGGTAATTCCCAGCAAAATTACCATTATTAACTTGTAGTTTAAGAATCTAAGTATATCAGACTATACACAGCAATAGTCCTAAGTTTAGGGTATAAACGGCTTGTCTATATATTCTTCCTAATAATCAATTGATTTATCCTCTTATCTAATCCAAGTTTTTACTTAATAATGAGGATCAATAGAAATTTCAAACACTCTTGCTCCTTTTTTCAATCCATTGGGTCCTATTTGACCGTAACCAGTCTTTCTACCATATGCCATAGTAATACCTTTGTAGATTCCATAAAAATCATTGTGATGATCATGACAACTAGAAATCCAATCGACTCCATTAGTGTCTTTAATAACCTGAAACAAACCAGTATTACCTGCTTAGCAGCAAATTTCCTCTCCTGCTTTTCCAACAATATTTCCTTCGTTAAACATATATAAATACTCCTGGATTGGGATGTGCATGAAAAGAATACCCTTTCCTCTGCTTGGATCATCCTTAGAAATTTTGTTGAACTCTTAACCAATCCAATCGATTTGATTTTTCCTTATACAATCGTAACCTCTATAATTAGGACAACCAGATCCTGCTCCTGAGTCTAATGACCAAACTCGGTACATGATTTTATGTCCATCATAATCGTAAATAGGCAGAAAATAGTTAAAAGTATGTGATAACCCTTTAGAATTAGGCTGTGTCATGCTAAGTTCAAAAGTTCAATCGAACTCAGATATCTCATCAGCATTTAAATTTCCTTCTGTGTCGTGATTGCCTATTGTTAAGGCCCATCTCACTCCATTTATTGTGAAAATATTGGCAAGTTTTGAGTAAATAGTTTGGAACCATTAGTCTTCTCCCTCCCAATCATAACCTGCTATAGCATCTCCGGTTATGAAAGCAAGATCAGGCTTTTCACTATCAATGACGTTTTATATTGCTTCAAAAGACTTTCTATTCTTCCACTCATATGCTCCAAGATGTAAATCGCTAATCTGTATGATCTTAAATTTTCCATCTTTATTAAATCTCAGAGGGGAGGTATTAGCATATATAAACTGGAGAATGTGAAAAACAAACTAAAAGCAAAGTATAAATATTTTTGTTTTCATTTTAAAATTAAGCCTTAGTCGAGTCATTATTTATTATCATATGCTCCTGATATTTTTAACTCGAGGGGTTTTGGGGTTTTGGGGTTTTGGGG